GCCTCCATGCTGGTGGGCAGGAACTGTGACGGAAAAAGCATGGGATAAAACTGGACTCTCTGAACATGGCGAACAATGAGGGCTGATGAGAACCCAAGGACAATGGCACGGGGTTTTGAACCTACGTAATGTGCTGGCTTTGTGGGAGCCTAGCCAGTTTGGATGTTCACCTTCCTAGAAATGCACGGAGGGGGGAGGACCTAGGACTTACCACAGGGCAGGGAAATCTGACTGCTCTTTGGGCTGGAGAGGGAGGGGGAGAGGAGTGGGGGGAGGGGGAGAAGGGTGGGAGGAGGGGGAGGGAAATGGGAGGCTGGGAGGAGGAGGAAATTTGTTTGTTTTTTTTTTCTTTTCTCAATAAAAAAAAGTTTTAAAAAAATACTATTATATATTTATCTGTGTAAAATTTTGTACTCGTGTACTCGTGCTTGAGTTTTCAAATAGTGACCATATTCAGTATTTTACATTAAGATATAGCAGAACTTTGTGGTATAAAAAGTGGTGATAGCCAGGCGGTGGTAGCACACGCTTTTAATCCCAGCACTCGGGAGGCACAGGCAGGCAGATCTCTGGGAGTTCGAGGCCAGCCTGGTCTACAAGAGTTAGTTCCGGGACAGGCACCAAAGCTACAGAGAAACCCTGTCATGAGAAACCAAAAATAAATAAATAAATAAATAAATAAATAATAAAAATAAAAATAAAAAGTGGTGATAATATAGTTGCTAGAGTAAATTCCTGTGCCTCTCTTGCAGAAGGCAACATTCACATACAAAGACAGACTATATTTTAGGGTACAATCATCAAGTGAATAAGACCAACCTGACATAATCTAGCCTCAGCTATGGGACAAGAAACTTCTCAAACAATTCTAAAACAAAAAAGAAATGTTAGTCTACTTTTGTATAAGCTACATGGAAAAACTAAACTATTACTTTCATTTCAGATTTTTGTGGATATCATTGGGTAACATTATCTATTTATGTCTTTTAGTCTTATTTTTAAAGAATTTTTTAAGAGCTAGACTGTCATTTTGTTTCTAAGATACACTCTCAACTGGTCTGCACACACATGGATCCATCCATAAGTAACAACAAAATCTAATGTTTAGAGTGTATTTCCACCTTATTTTTAATTTTGTGATTTTACTGACCTAATACTTGTTGTATAATAAATTATGTTAGTTAATATCTGTGGAAGTAGGTAATATTAAGTGAGTATTTGAAGTTCAGAAATATAAACAAATTGTTAATGATTTCTTTTCATAACTTGCAGGAGATAACCTTATAAAAGCATCATACAAAACAAGCATATAAAAAAACTAAGAATCTTTTATATATTTATTTGTTGATTCATTTAAAAAAATAGGTTTCTCATTATTCCTGCTGATGTGTCTGAATTTTTTTATCCCTCTTTCCTCCCCTATGTGATGCATTCTGTGCTCTATAAACATACAGCAAAAGCCCTTTGATAAGGACAGTGACAAGGACAGATAGATTCACAAGGCAAAATTGTTTTGCCAGACTCAGCTTTAGATACATACAACAGACACACATGAGCTATAATCATACAGCAGACAGTCAGTAGTCAGACCGGAGACACAAGGTGGAAAGTAGAGAACAAACCCTTGGGATTGGCCATGGTTAAACTATTTAAATGGAATGTGCTTTGGTTTCTTAGTGCAACACCACTGCATAATGGTGGCTGAGTTTACAAGGAACAGATTTATATTAACTCACTTTTTATAATGAGAATAATTTGATAATACTTCTAAATATGAAGTATCAGAACAAAAGACAGTGTAGCATAAACAAAATAAACACCATTTAAGGAACCAGGACTTTTCCTTTGCCTTATTATATCATTTTTTGTCTCTTTTGACTGTTTTCTCTTGGAGGCCTATTCTTTTCTGAGGAGGAAAGAGCCAGGGAGTGAATCTGGGGAAGAGGGAAGATGGGAAAAGCTAGGATGATTGGAAGGAGGGAAAACTGTGGATAAAATATATTGTATGAGAGAAGATTTTTTTTTAAAGGATCAGTATTGAGTTTCACTGTGAACCTGCACTGTTTAGTTTTATTTGTGAAAAATTCTCTTCCTGTAATTACAATAGCACACATGTGACTGTGGGCTTGTAAGCCATCTCAGTCAGCCAAGATTCTGGCACTGTGAACCTACTCAAGTGTATTGTTCCTTTACAGGAAGGGACAAATATTTGGTACTATAAGCTTTCTCATGGTATCTTTCTCTTCTACTTTATAGGTGCCCATATTAACTTAAGTGTTACCTAACTAAAACTTACTCATATAAATTATTGGGAAAAAATACCATAAGGAGAAGTTATACCAGCTAGAAGATTAATTATAAAACATAATTGACTTCCTTGCTCATCTTCTCCCTCCTTCTGTTCCTCATTGGGACTTTGGGAGCTCAGTCCAGTGCTCCAGTGTGGGTCTCTGTCTCTATCTCCATCCATCGCCAGATGAAGGTTCTATGGTGATATGCAAAATATTCATCAGTATGGCTATAGGATAGGATCATTTCAGGTTCCCTATCTTCAGCTGCCCCAGGAACTAACTAGGGACCTCGCCTTGGGCACCTGGAAGCCCCTCTAGGTCCAAGTCTCTTCCCAACCCTAAGATGGCTCCCTTAATTAAGATATGTGCTTCCCTGCTCCCCTATCCAACCTTCCTTTATCCCAATCATCCCGTTGCCCCAAGTTCTCCCCATCCTACCCTTCTCACTTTTCTCTCCCCATCTCCCCTTACCCCCCTCCCACCCCACCCTTAAGATACCGATTTTTTGCCTGGCAATCTTGTCTACTTCCCCTACCCAGGAGGATAGCTATAGGGTTTTGATCCTACTACATGTTCTGGCTTTGTGGGAGCCTAGCCAGTTTGGATGTTCACCTTCCTAGACCAGGACGGAGGGGGGTGGACTTTGGACTTTCCACAGGGCAGGGAACCCTGACTGCTCTTCAGACTTGAGAGAGAGGGGGAGAGGAGTGGGGGTAGGGGGAGAGGAGTGGGGGGAGGGGAGAGGAGTGGGGGGAGGGGGAGAGGAGTGGGAGGCTGGGAGGAGGCGGAATTTTTTTTTCTCAATAAAAAAAAAAAAACATAATTGAAATTCCAGCATTCATCAGAGAAACCATACAGATTTCTAAACTGGTAGAGGTAGAGAGACTTGATGAAAGAAAAAAAAAACAGACATAAATCTTGTGATTATTTTGATTCTTTTTAATATATAAATCATAATTTATTCTGGCACCATACTTCATAATTCAGAAAGATATATTTCTTATTCTAAAGCAAGTAAGTCAAAGGTGCTTGTGAATTGAGCTTCTAAATCTTCCCTGTAGCATTATGTATCTCACAGCTCACTCGAAGGCACCCACCCCACCAAACTCTTGTTTAAAACTGCAGTTTAAAACATTCCCTGTTTGCAAGGATTGCTGTCTTTGAAAATATGTTCCACCTTTCTACACCAAAGCTGCGTGAAAGGAAGGCTAATTATATGCCTAGCTATACATCTGGGCAAAGAGTAGCTTTTTACAGCCGTTGAGAAGCTTGATTTTTCATTATTATCATTAAGAACAGATGTCATTAAATAACTTTAATTGAACTTATAAAGCATCATTTGCTGTAATCACTTTGAATATCTTGAAACAACCAAAGGAATTTCTTGAAACAACCAAAGGAATTTCCTTCCTTTTGTGCTTTAACAAAATATAAATAGAAGAGATTATTATTATTATTATTATTAATTCAATGATTTTTTTATTTTAGATATGAAACGCTATACTTTACACAAATCAATAGCTGACTTTGATCTTCCTTGGGACTAGTTACTTATTTGAATTGAAATGTCTTGAAAATTTAATGCATTCCTAAGTAAATGTCAATATACAAACAAATTTAGAAGTTTTTACCATTTGGCTTATGATTTGGACGCAGCAATTAAAGATACAAGCTACACTTAAGTGAACAACTTTCCTGAAGACTCAGGAATATATGCTGATGAGAGATATATGACAGAGAGATTGTATTAGCCAGAACTGACAGAAAACTTCAAAGAAACAGGGTCTTAAAACCTCATCAAGGCTACTAATAAATGAACTCACAAAGACTGTGGCAGCACACATAAAACTACTGAATGCAAGCCAGATAGGGTCACAGCACTGGCAGGGAGAAGAGAGAAGAAAAAGGCATGGAGCTGTGGTATAGAGAGGTGGAGAAAAGTGGAGGTCAGGCAGGAGTTTGGGAAGGAAAATCATGATCAGAATACATTATATAAAATTGTTTATCAATGAAAAAGACAAACCAGCAAATAAAACCAAATATATCACAAGTGTAGTAATTTCTGTATTAAATGATATTGGGTGAAGTTGAGAATCACAATACTGTGGCAGTGGGTGAGGTCTGGCTGTTGATGCTTCAAGACTTTAGTTTCTTATGTTTATAGCTCTAGGAACTTTTCATAATTATATTTGACATAGTAGTGGTATGTTAAAACAATTATTTTTTTGGAAATTATTTTGGAGTAGTCTTATTCTAAGCAGATATGCATAAAAACTAATGATTCGATTAGATAAATTATACTGTTCCTTCTAAATGTAATTAACTTTAGCATTAAAAATTGTTTTCTATTTTATGAAACTTATAATCTTAATTGTCAAAATTTTAGTATGTAATTCACAAAGTATCTTGTCCAAAAAAAATGGAAAAATGCATTTCAACAAACTTCAAACAGTACATGAAAACCTGCTGGTTTTCTAAAGCTTTGCTTTAAATCTTCTAAACATGGAAACTCAAGCATGTTCAATTATATCTTCCACTTCTATTTGATATATGGTGGATTTTTTTTTCATTTGATTGGACCTTGATAAAATGAAGCAATACTAGTTTTGCACCAATAGAGGGGACCAACCTTTTCCAGTCTCAAATAATATTTTTTCTCCGTGAAGACAGACTCACTCTTCTTTGACAAATGGAATACAACTACAGAGCAACAAATTAATGGATAATTTATTCTGTGAAAGTGCCATGACATAAAAAAATTACACATCTCCAACTAGTCATAGTGTTTTAAATTTTAGAATTTTTAATTCTTCAGCTAAAGAACACTCCTGGAAAATGCTAGAGATGGAGAGGCAATGCATTCTTGAAACCTATAACAGGGAAATGGCTCTAGAGACGATCCACTGTAGCAGTCGGATTCAATATACTTCTAAATTTTTGTGTGTTGGATACTGTATATTTGTCCCATTATGTTTTTTGTAACCAAAGAGGTAAGTCCATGATAAATGATGTAAATTTAGCTTTGTTTTCATACATGCATTTAATTGGTTTTTATTTGTAACTTTAAATTTTTTGTACTTATATGACCTATACTATTTTTTATTATTAAAACCAAGATGTGTCTATCAAACCAGTTTATGCCCTCTTAAAAGATAAAAAATTTGGATGTAGTAACACAAATTGTTTATTTTCTTGTAGACTTGGGTCTACGGTTTCTTTCAGGGTAGTGACAGCGTTTGGGTTGCTGTTTTGACTGTCACATACTAATCACCTAGTTTAAAGATGACATTTCTCAAGTAACAATTATGTCTACCTATTAAAATGTTTAGTCACATAGCAATGTAAAACTGGAAACATTCCAACCAAAAAAAAAAAAATCACCACAAAATCCAAGGGAATAATGAAGGAGGTTTTTAAGGGTCAAATACAATATGGGAAGTTCTCACTATTAAAAAAAAAAAATCTCTTACGCACTGAGCCAGGTCACCAGACCAGACACCAGATAATTAAATTACCTTATGAAATAGTTCTATTAAATATTCATTCAATAAGACTTTATTTTAAGATCAAGCTCTTGCAAATAACTCAATGCTATTTTTAATATTTTATTTTATTTTCATAACTTTAGCTTTCAGTTCTCTTCTGTTTCATTGTAAGATGGACTATCCAACATAACCTAGCATGTGAACTCACCCTCATGGCAAACATCCTGGTTCAAGTTTTAGTGTATTGTTATTCAGCAAGACTCATCATGCCAATTTAACTCCTACCTTTTATTACCCCTAGTTCATACTGTTTTTAGCCAAATTCTATCATCATTTTCTTGCATTAAAAATACTTTTGCTAATTAATTATTGTATTCTAGTAGTTGCTTATTTTTTTCCCAAAACTTTATTAGTGAATTTAGATGTCTCCCTTTTTGACCAGATGAATATCACAATATTTTCTTATAATATGAATGGAATTATTGCTGATTTCCTATGCACACATGAGTTGAATTTCTTCTGATATATCTGATGCTTCTTTTGGGCCCACAAAGACATCTGGATGCTCATTAAAATTGTAAAAATACCAACTGAAAGAAAAAAAAACCAAAACAATTACATTGTTACATTTCTGTAATGGAAACAATGATTTATATTTAAGAACAAAATAATTTCTAATAAAAATATTTACCAAATGCTGAATAGCTTCCTATAAAGTTTCTTCTATTTGTTGCAAACAATAATACATGCACAAAATTATTTGAAGGATAAATAAAAAAAATCTATAAAAACTCCTTATATATTGTCTTCTCAAAAAATTGTCAAAAAGAAGTCATGTAGTCAATAAGAATGTGTGTGTATATACTATTTGCACACTTTGTATATTTATATATATAAGCTAATGATAATTCATAACTGATAAATGGATCAATGACAATGGTATTACATATGTTTTTTAAGTATAGCACTTGGGTGATCCAACTTTTCTCTTTATGTTAAAATATCAAGTTTTCAAAATTTGCAATCAGCTTTCCTCAGTCCATTTTTTACAGACGTATATACACAAGAGAGGTCGCTTTCAGTGAATTCCTCAATCAATAATATACTTCAATTATATTCACTGCCTTGAATTAAGTTTCAGTTATATAAGGACAAATATGAGATAATATTTCAGTATTTGAAGACTAAAAATCACTATAAAAATAAAAATGCACATGCAGTATATTAGTACAAAAATCTTCTACGTTAGTGGGAGAGTAACTCATTTGCATAAGTTATTTCTCTGGCAGATGCTCCCATGATGATTAATTGTCAATAAATATTAAGATTACCTGGAAGTGTTTGTGTCATTACTGTGAAACTAATCCAGGATCCAATCTGTTAAAATAAAATTTTAAGGTGAGACACTGTGACTCATCTATTCACTTGTGATCATATAAGTAATTTGAAATCTCAAAACATTATAAAAGTTATGGATACAAAGAAATTATACTAATAGCCTTTACATATGAAAGCCATAAAGGGCCACAAAATATTGTGAAAGTCACATTAGAAATGAGCAACATTTTAAAATATTTGCTATACTCAAAATTCTGATATATCTCATGCTATGTTATATAAAACTTGCAAATATACTAAGTATACATGTATTTATATAGAATATTAATTTTCCCGTCATTATCTTTGGAAAATATCGATCTGCAGACTGCATATAATATATTTAAAGCACAAAGTTGTGGGTTTATTATATGTAGAATACTATTCAGTTATTTGTAAACAACATACCTCATAGGTGTAGTTAGGACAGGAAACCAGGAAAAACAGCCATGTAAAGGGGTTACAATTTGGACTTGGGAAACAGGCATTGCTCCCTTTTAGGAAAGAGAAAGTAATTCTTAATTGTGAACATAAGTTGCAAATGATACAGTGCTCTTATTATGTTATACTAAATTCTTGACTCTTGAGTACAATCATATAACACATAAAATGTCATATATTCGTGGCAATTTATTTCATTAATAACCTAGAAGAACCATAGTTTCAAATGTTATGACATTTTGACTCAGAGGTAATAGCTCTTATTTTTTAAATATTTCTACATCTATGTTTTGTAAAATTGTGAGAGGCAAAAATATAAACAATTAATTAAAGAATTAAATGATCATAGTACTTACTCTGTTTAATACCACACCTGCAGCAATAATCTGTTCTAAATTATAAAGCACGCTTTGCTAATTCCGTCATTTTTAACATTCTCTATTAGTGTCAAAGAATAATTGTATGAGATTTAAATACCTCAAAATTCACTACCAAATTAGTTAAAAATCCAAAGGGAATTGTATAAGGATGTCATTTATATAAAATGAGTTTAAAAGTGTCTTGAGAGTTATCCTGAATCAGTACAGTTAACATTCAGAAATACCACACAAATTATTTTGGCTAAGCAATCAAAAATGTTATTTACAGCTTTCTTATATTTAGCACACCATCACTTGATTTTCATTAATTCTCTCTCAGTAATTTTTTTCAGGGAACATTTTGGAAAAATAAATTTATAATGATTTCAAGTTGAACTTTGCGCTGTGACACTTGTAAAAGAAAATATGAATTACAAAATTACTGTTTTATTCTCTGTGGCAAAATTTAATCAGATAAGAAATCAACTAATCTCATTTAGTTACAACTGTAAAGTCATAGTAAAATGTCAGCATGCTATGTTAAAAAAATTTAACTGTGGTTGAAATATCAAGTTAAAAATATATGAAACAACAGCTCTGATTATTCCTCAGTTTATGACAAAGATGAGCACATGTTGCTGGTTCTCTTAGAACAGGAGTTCTCAACCTGTGGGTAAAGACCCTTAGGGGGATTGAATGACCCTATCACAGGGCTTAACTAAGACTATCAGAAAACACAGATATTTACAGGGTTTCTCTGTAGCTTTGGAGCCTTGTTTGCCAGGCTGGCCTCAACCTCGTAAAGATCCACCTGCCTCTGCCTCCCTAGTGCTGTGATTAAAGGGCTATGCCACCACCACCTGGCCAGGAATTTCTATTTTTAATGAATCAGAGATTAGAACGGTCTTTTAGAGTTGATGAACTTTCTGAAGATCTTACAGTAGACAGTGTATTGTACTTAGATGACACAGAATAGATTGTTCCTGGTATAAGGAAGTGGTATAATTGTGGAACTATTCACTAGTAATATTAATATACTGAGAATTAATAATGATGGGAAGGGTGTTTTGGTGTGTTCAAAATAAAAATAGAATTAAGGGTTCAGTACCCACCAGCCTGCAGACAGGTGAGTGTCATACCTCAATGTTGCATCCAAACCCCTGTCACCCCCCCAGAAATTGTCCCACCCAGACCTACTCTGCCACCCAAACCCAAGTATCTAAACATCCTCCTCCCTGGCCAGTCCTTTCTTGCAACCCCAGCAAACTATGTAGGCACAGGTGAAAATCATAGTTGGAAAATAAGATTAGTGACAGGACTCTCAGCTGGACTGTCCCAAAGTCCAGATCTTAATTGAACCCCAGGGCACATCCTGTGCCCCTTCCCCTCCTATTACAACATCAGCAAGGCAGCTGGACTATGCCGTCCCCCAGTGGAATTCCCCTGCTCTGTTGCTGTTCTTAACAGCCTGCACACAGGTGAGAGAACTGCCTTTAGGTAGAACCCAAACCACTGTTACCCACTGGACTCCTTCCCTCCAAGACTAACTCTGCCACCCAACCCCATGCCCGTGAACATCCTCCCCATGACCAGTCTTCCCCCATATCTCCAGCAGACTACATAGGCATAGGTGCAAACCATAATAGTTGGAAGAAAAGCATAGGCACATGCCACAAAAGATGAGTAAATGCCAGTGTAAGAATACGGTTAACAACTGAAAGAGCAATGTGGTGCCACCAGATCAAGTGATCCTACAATAGCAAAATCTGAACATTCCAATGCAACTGGAACAGAAGAAAACAACTTAAAAATTACTCTATGAAGATGACAGAAACTCTTAAAGAGGAAATTAAAAAGTCCCTAAAAGAAGTTGAGGAAAAGACAAACAAAAATTGGAAGAAATCAATAAATTCTGTAAAGAAAACAAAAATAAATAAATAAATAAAACAATCAAACAGGTGATGGAAATGGTTTAAGACTTCAAAACTGAAATAGAAAAAATAAAGAAAATACAAACCAATGAAATTTTGGAAAAGGAAAATCTGAGTGAGCAAACAGGAACTACAGGTACAAGCATCAACAACAGAAAAAAAAGAGATGGATGAAGAATCTTAGGCTTTCTTAATAGGTACCATGTATCAAAATTAAATCAAGACCAGATCAACAGTTCAAACAAATCATTAATGCTAAGGAAAAAACAGTACTCAGTAGGCAGAGGCAGATTGATCTCTGTGAGTTGGAGGCCAGCCTGGTCTACAGAGCCAGTATCAGGACAGACTCCAAAACTACATAGAGAAACCCTGTCTCAAAAACCAAAAAGAAAAAAAAAACATATGAACTTATGAACACCTAATTTTTGACAAAGAAGTCAAAAGTATACAATAAAAAAAGAATGCATCTTCAGCAAATGTTGCTGCCATAACTGGGTGGCAACATGTGGAAGAATGCAATTAGATCCATATCTACTGCCTGGTGTGGGAAGTCCTTTTGTATAAGTGTTGCTTTTATTGGGTAATGAATATAGAAGTTGCTTTGACCTTTGATAGTGCAGAATAGATCTAGGTGGGAAAACTAAACTGAATGCTGGGAGAATGTAGGTGAAGTCAGTGAGAAGCTATGTGGCCGCCATTGGAGACAGACTTCAGATACAAGATGGAACCTTGTCAATGGGCCACAACTACATGGAGATACACAGATTAATAGAAATGGGGTTAATTTAAGATGTAAACTAGCCTCTCTGAACATGGCGAACAATGAGGGCTGATGCAAGCCAAGGACAATGGCACGGGATTTTGATCCTACTTCATGTTCTAGCTTTGTGGGAGCCTAGCCAGTTTGGATGTTCATCTTCCTAGACCTGGACGGAGTGGGGAGGACCTTGGACTTTCCACAGGGCAGGGAACCCTGACTGCTCTTTGGACTGGAGAGGGAGGGGGAGAGTAGTGGGGGGAGGAGGAGAGGGGCGGGAGGAGGGGGAGGGCAATGGGAGGCTGGGAGGAGGTGGAAACTTTTTTTCTCAATAAAAAATTAAAAAAAAAGATGTAAACTAGAAAGACACTTAACCTATTGGACAAACAGTATTTCAAATAAAATAGTTTCTGTCTGATTATTTTGGGTCTGGGCAGCCGGAAACATATAAGCAGTCTCTGCCTACAACTACCCTGTACTACTCAAGTCCAAGTAGATCAAAGACCTAAACATAAACCCAGTTACACTGGAATTAATAAAAGAAAAAGTGTGAAATAGCCTTGTATGTTTTGGTGCAGGAGACTACTTTCTGAATGTATCACCAGTAGCAAAGAAACTGAGATTAAGAATTAATAAATGGGACCCCCTGTAATTCAAAAGCTTCTGTATGGAAAAGAACACTGTCAATAAGGCAACCTACAGAATGGTAAAAGATCTTCACCAACTCCATATCTGACAGAGGGCTGATCTCCAAAATACACAAAGAATTAAAGAAACTAGCCATAGAAATACCAAATAATCTCATTAAAAGTGGGATACAGATCTAAACAGAATTATCTATAGTTTAATTTTAGTAAATATACTTAACATAATTAAAACTGCATTGATAAATGCAAATTAAAAGTAAAATATGAACACTACTAATGTCTACTTGATATCATGCATATTGTAGCTTTTTCCTCTGAACTAAAACTGTCCTTGTTAGAGGCAAAAGGAAGTTCATAAGACTCAAAAGTATTGCCAGGCGATGGTGGCTCACGCCTTTAATTCCAGCACTTGGGAGGCAGAGGCAGGCGGATCTCTGTGAGTTTGAGGCCAGCATGGTCTACAAGAGCTAGTTCCAGGACAGGAACCAAAAGCTATGGAGAAACCCTGTCTCAAAAATCAAAAAAAAAAAAAAAAAAAAAAAAAAAGAAAGAAAGAAAGAAAAGACTCAAAAGTATTCAATTTCCCGTCACCCCTCCCCCGTAAAATATCAGAAGCAATGAAGAATCTCTAGATGGAAAAGACTCTTCAGGTTGTTCAGGGATGTGCAGGACTGTAGGTTTTGTGAGTTCATATGTTGGATTGGGTTTTAGATTGATTCATCTGTTTGAGTAGCACATTATCCTATATGAACCACTTATGCATGTTCCTACTTGTTACTCCAATAAAGGCATTGTTTTTCCAAGACAGACTTGGGTTAAATGATTTCTTTTGTCCATCATGATGGTCAGTTTGTAATGAACAAATTTCTATTATTTCTTCTAGGAAATGTCACATGAGAACATGTAAACAGTGCTGATCACATGCGGTGAGCAGGCAGCTAAAGCCCAGACTTGGAACAGCATGACATATGAAGACCAGCTCTAAGACCACACAGCACCATTGAAAGCAGGGATAGCCAAGCCAAGGCAGTGTTGAAAAATTTTGCATTATATAAATTTCCTTGAATTCTTTGAGACTGTAGAAGTAGGTCAATCACCCTTCAGCATTCTTTTCTGTACTGCAAGATATACAGGCCACTACACTACAAGATATAAACAGAAAAAAATGTAAAAGAGAACATGAAGTTGAGAGGGAAATGTGATCTGAGGTCCTGGGAGTAATTAGTCAGAAGGTGGGAATGGAGGATGGTGTGAAAAAGTTACATAGTCTGCAAGTATATACATTCCAAAGATAAATTTAAGTTTTGAAAGATCACCCTTATTTTCCTTCCTAACCTTCATAGGTAGCAAGGGTTGCATTGGTTTCCAGCCTGTCTGACATGTATCTAGGTCTGCAGTGTGGGAAAAACTAAGAATAAAAAAAATGGAAGAGTTGGATGAATATAGAAGAACTAACCTGTGTGGTTGGGATGAGCCAACACTGTATTTATAAAATGATTCCCAGCTTCACAAATCTGCAAAATATATATAGCTTTTCAATTAACAAGGGAATTTTACAACATTAAAAGCTTGTATAGACACCAATAATTTGTTACAGCAAGATAGAAATTCTGAAGATTGTAGTAATATGGGGCGGCAGGGCTGTGTCCCCCACACCCGGCCGCCCACATGGCTAGCTTATGCTCCGAAATAACAACACACAAAACTGTATTCTTTTAATCACTGCTTGGCCCATTCTCTTCTAGGCTAATTCTCACATATTAATTTAGCCCATTCCTAATCATCTGTGTGTAGCACCCCAAGGTGCGCTTACCGGGGAGATTCTAGCCTAGTCCATCCTGGGTCCGAGCTTCATCACGTGTGTCTGCCAGGGAGCAGGGCATGGCGTCTCTCTCAGGCGTCTGCTCCAGAGAGGAGAGCTGTGGCTTCTCTGAGCTCACTTCCTCTTCCTCCCAGCATTTTGTTCTGTTTACTCCTCCCACCTATCCTCTAACCAATAAAATGGGCCAGGGCAGTGCCTTTATTAGCCAATGACCTTCCTCCATCAGAAGATAATCTTTACTATGTTGATAACCAAGTACAAATGTCTATTAATTTGCCAATGCTATCTTCTTTCTTCATGTTTTCTGGACAGTTTTCTTTATCATGAAGTTATTGTATACGTTATTAAAGATAGACTTTAAAATAGTATGCACTCTCAGCCCATTAACACAAGAGCAGTGATTTTAGTGCAAAGATCATGGTTCCATATTCAGTTGGTTTCAGCTTAGTTTGTGATTGACTGCAATACAGCACAGCATCAAGGCTATGGTGTGGTTAGTTTCTCATTTTCATTAGTTGAGTTTACAGTGATTTAAAACACAGCAAACGAAGAATAACCAAGTTAATGATGAGCAGTTTGGCTAGGTAAGTAGCAGATAAAAATTGTAAAAGCAAACACAATGGATTTAATTGGTACAAAGAAGCATCATCAAAGGCTAACCAGTTCATTCCACGTTGTCAGAGTGGTGACGATGTCGTGATGGCCATCATTAGGTGTGATTTAACACTACTAGTATTTAAATTTTCTCATATAAATAAAACTTAAACTCTAAAAATGAAGTCAGTGTGACTATTATGGATAGTAAGCAGAGATTTTAATGGAATTTACATTTTAATTGATTTCAAAGTAATAGTAATAATTATTATTGTGAGTTGATAAAATCTACATTAGGAAATTTAGCCATTTGTAATTTAATGATAGGTTCATTATTCAACTTGATAATATTAGAAAATTGTTTAATAATCTATTTTATTCAGCTACTATATTGGTGAATATGAAATAAGAAAGGCATATCATATAGAGAATTGCTGGAGTGGAGGTGCTTATTGTTTGCTGATTAGAATTATGTCTTTGTTACTAAAATATTGGTGTTGTCAAAGAAGAGACTTAGAAAAAACAAAAAGAAATGACAATCAAGAAAACTGAAACAGATGAAGGTGAAAATGTCTAGCAAAGACACATTTTTATATTATATAATGAATGATCTTTCTAAAAACAAAACATGGTAGGTATTCCTCATCCCTCCCCTGCTCCCCTTCTCTTCCCTTTTCACCATCCCTTCTTCCTCCACCCCTATGTTCCCAAGTTTGTCAGGTGATTTTGTCTAATTCGACTTTCCAGGTAGATCTATACATGTTTTCTTAGGGTTTACCTTGTTATTTAGCTTTTTTAGGATCATGAACTATAAGCTCAATATCTTTTGTTTATAGCTAGTATCCATTAATGAGTGAGTACATACCATATTCTTCTTTTTGGGTCTGGGTTTCCTCACTCAGGATGATGTTTTCTAGTTCCATCCATTTGCATGCAAAATTCAAATTCAAGATGTCATTTTTCTTTAACCACTGAGTAGTACTCTAATGTGTAAATGTGCCATATTTTCTTTATCCATTCTTCAGTTGACAGGCATTTAGGTTGTTTCTGACTATTACAAATGATACTGTTATGAACATAGTTGAACAAATGCCTTTTTATTATGATTGAGCATTTTGGGGGAACATGCCCAAGAGTAATATTGCAAGGTCCTGAGGTAGGTTGAATCCCAATTTTCTGAGAAACCTCTCTGAGGAGGGGTTGGGAGTGGGGCATAGGGTAAGTAAAGGGAATGGGAGGAGGGGATGTAGTGGGAACATGGATTGGTATGTATAATAAAAAAAAAGATAGTAGTTTAATATATATATATATATATATATATATATATATATATATGATGGGAAAACTATGCCTACATATGTTCCTTTAAGATGATGCATTATTATACTATTTCAATATCCACTACTGATATTTATGACAATTTAGGATGATATATTCTTAAATTTTTATATTTGGGATAAATTCTGGTCCACTGACAGTGGTCCCATAGACTGCCCCAATCATGTAACTGTCACTGACATTTAGAGAGTCTAGTTTGGTCCTGTTCTGGTTCCCCTGCTGTCAGTCTGAAGTCAGTGAGCTCCAATTAGCTCAGGTATGCTGTTTCGGTATGTATCCCTATCAATCATGCTCCTGATCCCTTTGCTCAATAGCTTCTTTCTCTCTCTGACTGGACTGTTGGAGTTCAATACAGTGCTTAGATGTTGATCTCTGCATCTGATTCCATCAGTTGTTGGATGATTCTCTTTGGAGGGAAACCTTACTCGGCCTAGGAATAACCTTGGACCTAGCATATCAAAGTGATATGCTAGATTTTTTGACTCCTCAGAGAAAACTTACCCTCTCAAGGAGTGGATGTGGGTGGGGTAGGGGAAGGTGGAAGAAGCAGGAGGAGGGGAGGGAACTGGGATTGGTATGTACAATGAGAAAGGATGCATTTTTAAAAATAAATTAATTAATTAAAAATTATATGTTTACAATTATTCATTTGTATACTTTTATTTTTCAAATCTGTTAGTATATATTTTAATTGTTAGATAATCTGTTTATATGCATTGTTTCAATAATTTTTTAAAAAGTGATTTGTTGTTTATAAATAAATGACCAATGAATGTTTACTTTTGAAAAATAAATACTTCAACATGATTTTATATAAACTTCATATACTATTTCAATTGCATGATTTAAATTAAATCTTCTTAAGTTGTTTGTATGCATTTGTTTTAGCTGCTTTGACTATTGGAGATAAAACTTTAGCCAACAAATAATACGACATTAATGTATTTGTGAACTTATTGAATGACTTAGAGTTATTAGTTTTGCTTCTATAATCTACTTCATTACCACAGTTTTTATAATACATCAACCTTAAATCCATTGAGTTTTCACAATTTATTTTGTGACCTTTTAGTATCAGACATTGAGTTTTGAGAAGGCATATGGTAAATAACATGAACTGATTGTAGACTAAGTAATGACCCAAGACTTACTTGTGAGACTTTTTTCTTCATTGGCTTTGTTATTATGTAGCTTAAAAAAATATGAACTTTATGTTCACATAGCAGTCATTGATTTTAATTAAACCAGTAGTTCTCCATCCTGGGTCTTAATCCCTTTTGGTGTCTCATATCAGACATCATGACTATCAGAAATATGCATAATAATTCATGACACTAATAAAATTACAGTAGTAAATTAACAATGAAGTAATTTTATGACAACATGGGAAACAATATTAAAGGGTTGCAGCTTTAAGAAAGTTGATAATGACTGATTTAAATTATGCCTATTTCTGTTAGTGGGTTGTAGTAAAATTGTAATTTAATTAAGTTAAAATATATAAAACATAATCTTTATATTTATTTAATTGTGTAAGTTTTCAACTACAGTTTATTTAAAATTATTTTTTTCTTTACAAAGAAAAATTAGTTCCAATTTAAATCATTGGTTTCTATGGACTATATGCATAGAGCCATTCACAATCTAGTTATTATGTATATAAGTTATTTCAGGGAATTTAAGAAGGCATTAAAAACAAATGACAGATCTTTAAATTTTAACTTAATCTTCAGCAAGGAAAAGGGTAAAATATATGCATTAATTAAAATACTAACTAAACTGAAGATAAAGCAAGGCACAAGCTGTTCTTAGTGTTTGCTACATCAGTACATATCAAACGTCCAAAGCCCATTTCTGGTCTTTCTGACTTACCACAGCAAGCACCATTTCTCCACTTTTTATTAAAAACTGTGATATACAAATCTATATATCCTCTTGTCTAATCAAGTCCTACCTCTTATGTGCTTAAGGCTCTTCTGTGGTTTCTCTTGAAAAACATTATGCCAGATACAAACAGCTTTCTATTTCAAGGGTATTTGCATTTTTTCATGACAAGGAGAGAAAATTCAGGTAACAAATGTTGATACTAGAAACAGCGCAAAGCTAGAATAAAGAGCTATTTGAAAGCTTAGCAAACCTGCTTGAAGTTTTGCTTTTTTTTCCATTTTGTTAATCACTGAAGAAACAAAGAATTTAAGGGAACACTTTCTGTATAGGAATTGTTAACTGTTCATAGACTGGTAAGCCTTTACTGAGCGAAAACAAAGTAGCGTTGAAATTCAATTGAAAAATGTATTATTATTTATGTGAAGCAGTCTGTTTTAGAATTTTGATTATTTGCTTTTAATTGTAGCTTTTAAAAAAGTTTAGTTTTAGAGGATGAAGATAGTTGTGAAATAAAAAAAAACATTAATATTCAGTGCATTGAAAAATTTAGAATAGATAAAAATACATGTGGACTTCAGAATATATTTTGTAGGAAGAGCAATTCTGACATATACAATCTATATTTTTTTCTGAGTCATATTGTTCCTTTTTTCTTGATTTGAGTGTGATTCTTGCACACATTTAAGAGATCAAAATTTTATTTAATGTTTTAAAAAGCAGGTAATTATATACTTCCTAGACTATAACATCCATAGAGTGAAATCTAAGTAAGCATTTTATCAGAAGTCTTTAGCTTGATCTTTAAATATATTTTCTGATCACTCTGTGTAGCTTATGATATTTTTAAAGTACTAGGTAACAAAATTTCAGTAGAAAGAAGTTATAGGGGGCAAAAGGATAAATTATAGTAGATAATAAAGAAATGAGTGATCAAACAATTTTAGTAGCATCCAATTGATTTGACTGTTGTGTTACCAGGTAATGGTCTGTTCTACTAAGAAACAGAAACAAAATCCAACTTTAATAAAATAATAAGGGAATATAAAGTTTTGCAAATAAAATTTTATGATAAAAAACTTAGTACCTGCAATTGAGGAATATATTTATGATTTAAATACACATTATTGGAGGCTTATAATTATTTCTGCATTGATTGCCATGCATAATAACCAACTGAATGATCTTCTATTAGTTTAATGAAAGATATCTTACAATGATCTGTCTTTAAAAGGGAGTTGTAGTTTCTTCAAAAATAAAATACACATGCAGCATTCATATTAAAATTAAATAATCACTCATATTTTAATTCATTTTTATAAATGAATATCTTCAATTTATCCAGTTATGTTATAATATATGTAGATCTTCGGGATGTAGATGACATATTCAAGATTGATCAAATCTGTAAGCATTATATCTTGTTTATTATCTGTTACCAAAAATGTATCTGAGTAACAAATGATTGCAAAATTTAAATCCATATGGTAAATGTCAACCATTCATAAAAATTATCTGGGCAATTAAGTATTTTTTCTCTTCCCCATAATTATTGCTTGCAAAAAGTTCAATGATGATATGCCTCACTTTCAAACTATCATTTGCTGCTAAGTAAAATTACATTAATTGCTTTCAATTTTAAGAAGGATTATAAAATGTCTCCAATATTATCTCTGCTTACAAACAAAGGCATTTTTTTTTCTGTTTGAAATTCATCTTATGATGTGGAATTCTTCTCTGTATGCTGTTAATACCACTAGTTAATAAAGAAAGTGTCTTAGACCTGAGGTAGGTAAGAGCTAAGTGGGGAAAACTAAACTGAATACTGAAAGAAGGAAGGCTGAATATAGAGTATCCTTGGAGCCGCCCTGAGATAGACGCCGAAACTTGCTGGTAAGCCACAACCACGTGGTGATACACAGATTAGTGGAAATGGGTTAAATTAAGATGTAAAACCTAGCCAATAAGAAGGTAGAGATAATAGGCCAAGCAGTGATTTAATTAATACAGTGGTTATTTTAGGAGTCTGAGCAGCTTGGAAATAAACAAGCGACCTTCTACAACAATCTTAACACTCATCTTTAAATCTAGATATCTTAGCTTTCAAAAATATCATTGAATCTTCATACAATTGAAACAAAATAACTGTCGCATGCTCATAAATGTGAAATTATAGTCACATTGCTTCTCTCTACCATATTTCTACTAGATTTTGGTACTGCTACAAACACTGCTTGAGTACACATTAGCTTCCTGGACTTTGCTAAATTTTTCCAAAACTGTACTTCAAATAGTTTTATTAACTGTATATGAAAACATTGATATTTGGCATATAAATGAATAGAAAAACAAATCAGTTTCAAGTTTTTGGAATTTTGCTTATGTAGTATTAAATATTAATTATAATTTGGTTTTGATATAATATTTAGAAAGGCTCTAACTTTAAATTTTTATGTTTGCATGTGTCTTTCTCATTTGATGAAAAGGGGAAAATTAGTACATGGTTATAGCACATTGGAGAAAATTAATAACTCAACAACAGGACAAAAAGGTAGTGGTACAAATCAAACCAAAATGAGATTGCAAACGTGGTGCAGACAGCAGAGGAGTGCAGTGTGAGGAACGAGTAAAGTCAGAGCAACAACCAGAGAACAACAAAAGAACCCATCAGAGCCTAAAGTTAAGTAAGAGTTGGAATATTTGTTTTGCTTGTTTGTTTATTTTTTTGTGAACCAACTATTCACTCTGCCAAAATTTTCAGAGTAATCATGAAACATTACAAAAAAAATTGAAGCTGCAGAGTTATTCTGCCTGGGCCATGCATAACTATGAAAATTAAATGTTTTAATGTATTTCCCCAATATTAAATATTTCTAAAAGTATAAAATATGCAATATTATAGAGTAAATAAAGGTATCCTATTATGTGCAAACATAGTCACCTATAAGATAAAACAACATTATTTGTCACAAGAGTAAAGCTAATATAAACATATAAGTACTCTGTTTACTGTACTGATTTATTAGAAAAAGAAAGACTCTTACGTGCTCGTATAAACTTGTATATAATTCAATAAATAAGCATGTTTTCTACATGAAATGATGGGGAAGGAAAGAATGGTGAGAACAATTTGGAAAGAGTCAATCCCTGGATTAATACTTGCTTCCACTAATTAAATCAAACACATGTGAACTTTTTTCATACTGAATCAGTAAGTCAAACTTAATGAATTTTTTTATATTTATCTATTATACTTATGGAAACGTTTGAATTTAGACGTGTGTAAAGTCATAAGTGTATATATGATAAGAATCATGGATCCTAATTTTACACTGCAGAATTTTGATAAGAATATTTAACAACTTATCAGTAAATTATATAAAGTTTATGTTTTACTCCAATTTGTATGTATTTGTCTAAAATATATGTACTATGAAATTGATATTTTCTACATAGTTAAACACATATTATACATACAAATTATCAATAAGGTGCATTTTCATATTCTTTTTTCCAATCAAAATTTATAATATCAATAAACAACACTATATAATACATACCAGAAAATTAATAGCAGATATTATTATTTGCCTGTTTCCAAATGCTGTAAAGAAGAAAAAGCAGATGGGATGCAAGTAAGCTTTCTTATTAGATTATTATACTGAAGACACTGTGCAGACATTTTTTTCAGGATTCATCAGTCCTCTATTTAAAAAGATCGCCATATGCTTTTTAATTTTAACATTGTACATTTGAAATCTAAAATATTTAAATTATTGTTTACTCATTTGTTTGCTTTTCTTTGCATTCTAATAATATTTTAAATGAATGAAATGTAAAATCAATATGTTTTACTAAGAACCTAAGAACTTTTAAAGTAGAACACATCTTGCTAAGTTCTCATATGGAAAATGAGAACTTATATATATAAGTTATATATATATATATATATATATATATATATATATATATCACTGCTCAGGAAATAGTATACCTTGCAATATCATTTTTGCTGTTTAACAATGTAATAAAAATGATCATATTTATTTTATCATGTACCTCTCATATTTATATTTTAATTATATAAATTTTGAGTGTGCTTTGTAGTCTGTTGTAAATGCTATATTTATCATAAGAAGTGAAGGAGACAGAGCTTTTAAAATTGTTTTATTATTTTAAATATATTTCTTTGTTGAAGGGTGTATACTAACTCATACGCATGTGGGGGTCATATACATATCTTTATTTACATGGCATACACACATATAATGTTATATATGTGGTGGCTCGAAAAAAAATGAGATCCCAAGGATGTGTCACTAGTAGCACTATTAAAAGGTGTGGAATTGTTGGAGGAAGTGTGTCTCTGTGAAGGTGGACTTTGAGGTCTCATGTATGTTCAAGCCACACCCAGTATTTCAGACTACTTCTGGTTGCCTGTGTAATATATATAACTGTCAGTACTTTCCCAGCACCATGCCTGCCTGTCTGTTTGATGACAAAGGACTGAAACTCTGAACTGTAAGCCACACAAGTAAATGTTCTTTATAAGAGTTTTCGTGGTTACAGTGTCTTTTTACAGCAATAGAAACCCTGAATAAGACAGAAGTTGGTACGAGGAACGTGGGTATTGCTGTCATAGGCCTGACCATATTTCCATCTGGAGAAATGTGTACTTTGGTACTTGGATTTAGGAGAGCAGTATAATTCTTTAAATACTGCTTAATAGGCCATTCTAGTATGGTTATGGAAGACAATGGCGCTGAAAAAGATTTGGGTTTAAGGAGCTGCCATAGAGGTTTCAAAGGAGAAGAATTTAAAATGTTGCCTAGAGATCATTCCTGTGATATTTTTGTGGAGAAGGCATCTACCTTTTGCCATTGTCTGAAGAGTTTGCCTGAGGCTAGAGTGAAGTGTTTTGGATTAATTAATTTGGCAGTGGAAATTTCAAAATAGCCTAGTATAGACTCTGTAGTGTTGTTAACAGTGGTAACTTTAATGAAGATTTATAATGAAAAAGAGCAAGCAGAGCAAGGCAAATTGCAAAATGTAAAATGTGAAGAGAATAGGAACACCAGGGAGTAGAATGGAGCTAAGTGCTATGTTCAAGGAGATAAACAGATTAAGAAATGGAATAAAAAGACCTCATGGCGAGATCCCACCAAGTTAAAATTCCCACTTACAAAAAGAAATTAAATAAGTGCTTAGAGGCAGGTGCAGTGGTGTAGGCTAATGCCAGCACTCCAAAGACAGGCTGGCATATCTTAGAGTTTGAGGCCAGTCTGGTCTACAGTGCAAGTTTCAGGACAGTAGTAAAGGTAAGCATGGAGAGCAGAAAGCTGGTGAAAATGTATATAAACAAGGAGGGTATGTTCCAGTCCCAGCAAATAACAGAACTTGTCAACGTTGGCCACATGGTGCTGGCTCTACAGACAGAAAAGAAAATGGGGGTTATAGAATATTTCTCTGTGACTAAGGAAAACAGTTTAGGCAAGGAGTGTCCCTGAATGGAGGCCCCAAAAGGCCACTGTATGGAGAAACCTGGATATCCAGAGTCATGGGATACCTGCCAAGAAAGATGCTAGCAAGGAGTGGAACCAGTCCAAGATAAAGAATTATGCTGCACTCAGCAAAGCTGAAAATAGTAGGGGTCAGAGGCATGCTTTGACAGCAGACACGAAGTGCAGAATTTGAAATTTTCACACCTGGTTTTTGATATTGCTCTGATCAGTGTTTCCACCAAATGCTCCCTTCCCTACATTTTGGGATGTAATGTACATCCTGTGCCATTACATGTTGAAAATATGTGATTATTTTTTTTTAATTTATAGGCGATTACATATAAGAGATTGCATGAATTTCAGAACAGATTTTGGACTATGACTTTTAAACATTTTTGAGACACTGATAGACTATGGGGACGTTTGACATTTGGCTAATTCCATTTTTGCATTATGATATAGCTCCAAGTCTTTGGTGGCCAGGGAGTAAAATGCAGCTGTTTGAAGAAAAATGGTCTCCCAAGGGAATGGCATTATTAGGAGGCGTGGCTTTGTTGGAGTGGGCATGGCCTTGTTCGAGAAAGTGAGTCACTGTGGAGGTGCACTTTGGGGTTTCATTTATGTTCAACCCAGACCCAGTGTCTCAGATTACTTCTTGTTGCCTATGCAAGATGTAGAGCTGTCAGCTGCCACTTCAGAACCCTGTCTGCCTCAATTTGTCATGTCACAGGATGAAGAAAATAGATGGAATCTAAACCATAGGCCTTCAAACTAAATATTGTTCTTTAAAAGGATTGATTTGGTGATGGACTCTTAACAGCAATAGAAACCCTGATTAAGACAATATCCCTGCACATACATATACCGTTAAAATATATATTATATATTTTAACCCTATATAGCAATATATGCTATACAATATATATGTGTGTGTAGTTATAATGTTTACATATACACATAGCCTAGAGTTATTTAGTGCTGCTTGTATACCCAGGTGTTTAAGGCTGACCACTTCTAAGACTATCATGGGATTCGTTCCTTGGGAAAACTCATTCTTCCTTTCTTAGTAGCCTTAATAACTCAGTGGTTATACTTTCCTTCATATTTTTGCTTTTATCAGTTCATTACATTTTTTTTGAAGCAATAAAGAGTTCCTGGAGAGAGAGAAAATATCTACGTCAGTCAAATTTTGTCTTTCAAGCCTACATGAAAATTTAGTAAATTATGGAAGAAATTGAAAATTGATATTTTTATTAATTTTTCTGTTAAGTATAAGACATTCAATTTTATGGAATCAATAACAAAGCACAGATGTTGATAATTTAGCATGGGTTTAGTTAAAAAGAAATTGTACATACATGGTGGTGTATATCTTGGGTGATTAATATAATAAGCAATCCATGAAGTAAATCCCCAATAAAATGCACATCCCTAGAAATAAAACAAGACACAATAAAAGTTATATAAGATACATTATACAATACATTATTTTAACGTACCCTACATTTACTCATTCACTTTAGCATTTGAAAAATGCCTTTCATTGGTTTAGTTCTTTCAAAGTTTCTTACCTGTATAAAGTGCTACTGCTTACTTTAACCCCTCACCCTCTTAATCTCTCTCCCACAGATGTACATTCTATTTCATCTAAGTCCCCTTCTCTTCCCTTTTTTATTTTTGTTTGTTTATTTCTTTATTAAAAGTCACTGAAATTAAACAGGACCATCAGTGTCATAATAGTGGTGGGAATGAAAATGAAGAAAATGACTGCCTTTCCCCAGAATCAGTCTACAGTCTTAAGAATCCATGCCTGATACTGTATACCTGAGGAAGTCCTAAGCCCTCTAGGTGAATTTAATATAGTTTTTAACTAAGTTGTCATGGTGCAGTGCTGATTTCTAAACATTTTTTTTTATTGAGGAAAGAAAAAAAACATAAACAAAAAACAAGTTTCCGCCTCCTCCCAGCCTCCCATTTCCCTCCCCCTCCTCCACCCTTCTCCCCCTCCCCCCACTCCTCTCCCCCTCCCTCTCCAGTCCACAGAGCAGTCTGGGTTCCCTGCCCTGTGGTAAGTCTTGAGTCATAGTGGGCCCCCTTCCCAGAGGATAAAAAACCATAACACAATGATGCAATGTATTACTATTTGTTTTTTTTTTCGTAGTCAAAATAAAAAACGATAACATGTCTCAGTTCTCACCTTTATCAAGTTTTTTGTAGGACTGTGTCCTGCAGAAACTTTATGGACAAATAATGTCTCCAGAAGGTGTCGGATGTAGTGGATACAATGGCAGAAGCAGGCCAAGCTAGAAAATAAAGAAATTAATGAACAACTAATTTGCTCTCCAGAATGCTCCTTGCCATATCATAAGAAACCATGGAGTTGGCTTGACTTAGCTGCCCTGAGAGGCATGCTTCCTAGCCTTTTCAGGTTAGAGCCCATGGCTCCAGGGACACAATATCCCTTTCAGTTCCTAAGAGACCAGTACATTGTCTCAGGTAGTGCAATATTCGGGCCACTTAATGTTTCTCTGTATGTTCGCTTAGGAGTCAAGGAAGTATAGAAGCTTGACAGGACAATTGGTCTTAAACATTAATTTTGTGAACACCATAAGCCTTTCAAACTTCACTATTTCCTAGAAACCACAACAGTACTGATCCTGGCAATTGCCATTATATCCTGTTTCAGATAAATGTAGGAAATCTCTGACAGCTCTCAATAAAACTGCCACAGCCTCAGTTGTGCTGTGGTTCCTTGAAGGGGCCTAATTTAAACCCTTGTGGCTGTATCAGGTGACTTTGTGCCCATAAGTAAGCACAGGTGCTTACACGATATTATGAGACTTTTATAAGTTCAGTTATTTTTTAAGGTTTCTGACAAGTCTATATTATATGCTTAGCACATGGTTTGCAACACCCACTCCCCTCTTCCTTCTTGTCCGTCTCCAAACAGTAAATACTTGTGCCTGCAATATTATTTCTGCTTCCTGTCATATACAGATAGATATGTATCTATAATTATATATGCACAAATAATAGCAAATATTTTAATTTTAATGTATTTCACAATGTCTCATTTAACAAGAAATGGTATTTAGTGCTAGTTAACCATATTATTTACTTATTTTTCTAAACAACTTCAAAGTTTATGTACTGACTAAACTAATCCAAATATATTAAAATTAACTTCTGATGATTCAAGAAACATTCCATATCAGTCATAAAGTTTTTTTTGCAAAAAAAAAAATAAAATAAAATATAAAGGACTGGAGAGATGGCTCAGAGGTTAAGAGCACTAGCTGCTCTTCCAAAGGTCCTGAGTTCAATTCCCAGCAACCACATGGTGGCTCACAGCCATCTGTAAAGAGATCTGGTGCCCTCTTCTGCTCTGTGGGCATACATGGAGGCAGAATGTTGTATACACAATAAATAAATCTTTAAAAAAAAGGTTTTTGCACCCATATATCCTAGGAGGAGGAATAAAAATAAGAACTAACAATGCTTTCATAAGAGACTGTCTGAAGATTGAAGCGGAGAATGAACAAGTTTAAAAACTATCCAATGCCTGTATTGTGTGCAGTTGACATTTTGAAATATTCACAACTACCTTCTAATTGTTTGGTTCTCCTTTAGCAATAACTTTAAGATTGAGAAATTTGACTTTCATTTTCTATGCTATCATAAAGCATCCTTTATTTGACGTGTCTACCTGACATGTTTCCACATTTGTCTCGTCTGATGCTTGTTTCCCTTCCAATTGAAGTCTCCTCCTCTTGCCATTTTTACATAGCTAGCATTTTGAAAGTAATTATCAAATGCCTTTTATTGTGGCCAATTTTCCTGGATATAATTAAGAGAATTTATTTTCTGCTAACATATTTAACTATTTATTGTAAGTAAAAGGTAAGATGTTTATAAAAATTGATTATTCTTTAAAATCTTAAAATAAACATCACTGAAGATAATATTCTTTAAGCAATTGAGTGGATTAAACATTTTAAGATATCCTTTATTCTTTTTAATATAAGACATTTAGTTTAGTGATCAGAGCAAGTGCTGTTTTGAAAAAAAATACTGTGTGTGGTAGTGACAGGAATGAAAATAAAACATGAAAAAAATAACCACCTATTACTAAGCAAAATGATTACAATACCAGGCAAAATTCCCTCCTACTTGCTGGGCCTTCAGTTGTTTTGAATCAGGTAAAATGTTTATAAAATCTCTGATAACTGCTCAGACCTGTGTAACTAAATGAAATTATTTGTGGAAGCTTTACATTTTTGTGCTGTGGAAAACATGTGGTATTTGTTATCAAGATTTTATCAGACATGTATGTGTTAAAGAGTAGTAATCACTGTCATTTCACTTGATACTAAAATTGATCATCCTCCACGCATGGCTGTATATTCAATATATTCTAGAATTCAATATTAAAATACAAGTGTCATTACCATCTTCCAAGGTCTTCAACTCACTCTAAAAAAATTATATATTCTATTCTAAATGAAGCAATTAATATTTCAAAGCTATCTCGACAAGCTATTATTACCAAGAATCAATTTCTTGTTGTTCCTCTGTGAATGGCTACATTAGTCAGCCTTCTGTTTTTACAGTGCACAAAACTACTTTGGATCACAAATCACTTTCAAAAAAGAACAGTTGTCAGATTCACTAGTTGAAATCTGACCCATTAGTTAACGAGGTGAAATAAACATATACATAATGGATTCATAATTCAGGTCATTCAAATTATTCCAATGAGCCATAAATAATCAATGAGCCTTATAAGCCACACCATGTCAACAATTTATTGCATCTATTGCGGAAGTTAAATTCAAATGAGGGAAAATTATCAAAATGATCACAGTAATAGTTTAAAATAGTAAATTGTTTAGAATCATGTCAAACTAGCCAGATTTATGGAAGACATTGGAATGATTACTCTGAGTGAGAATATTTTGACATCATGCTTGGAATATAGATAATTGAGAAGAAAGAGAGAATGGGAATTGGAAATGACGACATGGTAGAGTGAGTTTTGTGAAGTGCAGTGGAGAATCAGGACAATAAGTCCTAAGCAATAATGCAGCTCAACATCTATAAGATGAAATAGTGAGTCAAATTTGTTATTTTGACTACAGTGTCCACAGGATTTCAATGTTCTTGCTTAATTCAGTTGGAATATTTCTAAGTCATGGAATTTGACTTTTAGTTTAATGTTTTTTTCCTTGTAACACTTCTTAATGTGGTATTTTGAATAATGAAACCCCTCCTTTTTAATATTCATTCTTCTGAGAGGCACGGAGATAGATCTGGTGAGGGAATAAGGGATGCATTGTTTCCACATAAGACTAACTACCACAGTTACATAGCATGTTTTGATAACTGTCCTACTAACAACAACAAATCATTCAGGTACTACTTACTTTGGGGTTTGAACTTACTAAAAGTATTCAGCAAACCTTTTTTCATAAATAGCTCCTTCTTATGCCCCTAAGCAGCATTACTATTTGTTTAAGTTGCGCTCAACTTTATAATTTCAAGTGTACATTCCTGTTTCTGAATTGCATGACATGTAGTGTTTGTTGTTTACTACTGCTTACTACCCCTAACTAAGCAACACTTAACCATTTGTGCCTTAAAAAAATTGTTTTGTCTTTTATCAAACTAAAATTCATTGTTCTACACTTAAATCTTCTGCAGTGCGAGTTTCAACCAATGCCTGCTAGGATGGAGGAAAGTTCTGATTTTAAGAAAATATGATTTAAGATTATTCAAGCTTATTATGTTTTAACAGATTTAATTCACTTTATTTATTTATTTATTTATTTTTGTATAAAAGCCCTACATGGTAGTCACAGCTGGAATTTATGCCCTCTGAATTGAAACTCTGGTGTTGATTTTCACAAATGGGCAGTGAATTCCTCATAGGATTTGGTGAACTTGGACTCTTTCCAGAGACCTGTGGTCAATGGCTGTAAGTCTTGAAGATGATATCAAAAGTGACCTTAGCAAAGCTTCCCAGGGTGGCAGTGCAACCCCTCGCTGCTGTGTAGTACTCATCCATAATGGCCACCAGCAGCAGCTTCTTGGGAAGACTAGCAGAAAAGATGGCAGTGCCTCTGGACAGGGACCAGCACAGAGACACAGTGGATTGTCACCCTGCATGGAATAGGGTAAGATTTCCCGTTGTTGTTCCTGCAGAATCCTCTCTTGACGACCATAGTGGAAAGCTTTGCAAGATAGCAAGATAGTGGTCTCCGATGTCAGTAGCTACCTTCTCGGAGCACTTAGCACCAACACTAGCATGACCTTTATAGTCCAAAATAGTGGCAAAAGCTGTGAATCTGGTCTGCTCGTAATCTGTAATATGCTTCTGCACTGACAGTCTCTCTCTCTCTCTCTCTCTCTCTCTCTCTCTCTCTCTCTCTCTCAATTTTTATATCATTATTTCCAACATAATATTTTTATTAATTATTTGAGAATTTCATACAAATTTCAAATCACCCCTTTCACACCCCCTTCCCCTTCCTCCCAGGTGTAACCTCTCACCTTCATGTCCAACTCCTCAAATAAAAATACACCAAGTCCAATTTATGTTGCCCATATTTTCATTGGAGCATGGTGAAACTCTTAGTGGCCAGACCCTTGTAGATAATCGGGTGCTTCCCTAATTCTCTTTCTGTGCCGCCAGAAGTCATCAACTGTAAAGAGCTACACTTCAGTATCTTTTTCACAGACCTGTCTGGATTGTTGTTTTTTCTCTGGGGGGGGGGGGCTGCTGTCACAGGAGCTTGCAATGTTTCTCATTCTCAGTTATGAGTATACTGTTATTGATACCACTGCGAAAGAAGCTTCTTTCCCCATAACAGCTGGAACAGCATGGTTCATGATCTTCCACATGAAGATAGACATGAACATAGACATCAGCATGACTTCCTGATGTTTAGACCCTCATCTTTTAAGGGTTTTTCCAGGAAAATGTCAACAACCTTGGATTCCTTAATGGGTAGGGATTACAGGTGGATCTCTTCCAGGGACGTGATCTTCACATCCTTGATCGTGTGGCCCACCTTGGTGACAGGAATGAACTCAAAGAGCCTGGTGGTGACCTTGATCTTGACCCTTAAAACAGCAGCAGAATCCCCAAAGAATGCACAGAGGCCTCCAAGGGCTGGAATCTTGGTCCTCTGGGTCATCTCATTGATCCACTGTCATCCAAATTGGTTGTTTTCCCAAAGAAAATTGTTTTGTTTTTGAGATAGCATCTTTCCTTGTAGCCCTGGCTCTGCTGATACTCATTATATAGAAGAGATTGTCTTCAAAATTCACAGAAATCATCCTTCCTCTTCCTCCCCAACATGCTGGCATTTAAAGTGTGCTCCCCAATGCCAGGTCCTTCAACTTTATTTTATAAAAGCTGCATGAATTAGTAAAAATTATACTATGAACCTTAGAAATTACATATATATATATATATATATATATATATATATATATATATTCTTGCATTATACTTATATAGTTCAACATATTTTCTTGATGCCAGGGGCAGCTATGACTCAGCCATGCATAGAAATTTATATCTTATACTGTGCTGAGTGCTAAAACATACTGGTTCAAAAGTTAGATTAACTTTAACTCTTGGTGTCTTTAGCTGACAGAGTAATTATGGAAAAGTAATCCCATCATCATGATAGGTCTTTCTGTCACCCTTTGTGTTCCCATGTGTCACTTACTGTACCACAGGGTGTCGAGGCCATCGAGAGATCTCTTTCACATCATATATGTATGAGCTCCTCAAGTAGAAAAGAATGTATATTATCAGAGGTCCTGAGTATTCAGCCAAAAAGACCTAAAAATGGAAAGTAGATTTGTATAAAAAATAGATTTGTAAATATTTGAACAGTTACATATATAAGCATTCATCAAACACATGAGATGTTGAAATATGTTAATAGATAATAACTTAAAAACAAACTATGTATGGCTGCAAATAAATCTTGCTCAGAACAGTTCATTTAGAGCTAAGAAAATGGATAAATGTAGAGATAATTTTAAAAAATAATTTTAAACAATTATTTTATTTTAATGAGTTTGCAAATGAAAGCATACACAGTTATATTAATGTAGTTACTCACATAAACATTTGCATGGCTCCAAACTTTATGCATCTCAATATATATATATATATATATATATATATATATATATATATTTATAATGGTCATTCTCAGGCAGTGAGTTTCACATTTTCAATATTCATTGTACTTTTAGGGACTTAGCCACCAAAAACACACAAAAGTGACAGATTTGAAACTAGAAAGCATTCAAGTTATATCCTCTGATTTTGAACTGAGTAACAGACTTTAATAGAAATAATGCAAAATCAATTTTTCTTATTAAGTAATTCCTTTTCCATGTACTTTTAATCTTGTCCACCCATTCCATATTCTATATAAAGTGTCCCACTCACTGAAAAAAAAAACATAAGTGACAGTATCTACTTTTCCCATTTTTCTTTCCTTTTTGCCAAATAATTCCTTCATTAACTAGATTAACTAGACCATCATTAAAATTAAAAATTGAAAATATTACGCCCCATGATACTTAGATTTAGGTGTCAACTAGACATATTTTGCAATTATTTGGGAACAGAATCTTAATTTTCCTTGCTGTATTCTTCTGTGGGCCTGGTTGTTGAAGATTACCTTATTTAAATTAATTGATCTAGAAAGGCTCAGCTTACTGTGTGCAATACTGAATCTGAGTCAAGAGGATCATGAATTTAAAAACAGTCTTGGTTACATAAAAGACTAAGTACCTACATGGTCATATATGTACATATTTATATAATTATGTATTGTATATGAACATATATCTAGGTTCATATAATAGAGTATGTAATGCAATTATATAGTTACATTTATATTCTTATGTTTCTTTAGCTATAATTATACTAGCAATGTATATACCATGAGTCAAAAAAGACCAGTGATAATAAAAACTGTAAAACATAGGATAATATAAATTTCATAAAATAATTCATTTACTTATAATCTATGATATACCTCATTATTGAAATGCAAAGATATTGTTGTGCTGAGCATGCTGGAGCAAATCTCTAACCCAACATTTGGGAGGATGCGGCAGTAGAATTACCATGAGGTTGAAGCTAAACAGGGTGCAATGAGACCCTATCTAAGCAAGAAAGGAAGAACAACAGAAAGAGGAAGAGGATAAAAAAAAATAAGCATGAAGAGAGAAACAATGGGATAATTAACCATTACCAATATTCCAGAAAAAGTTTCAGTTATTATTTTGTGATATTGAGAAGGCTACATTCTTTATAGGAAAAAATTTAAATATTTATTTCAATGTTATCTAATTAAACAAAGTCAAAGTTTTAGCAAATTCTGTAAGATGTATCCAATATGAAAAAATGTTGTGAATAATAGTGAAATTTGATAAAAAGCCACTATAATTTAAGCTAATAAAATTTTATCAGATATTATGTATAAAGTTCTTCAGAGTCAGAGGAAATTAAACTATGTTCTTCTTTCTGTCATATCTTAAATAAAATTCAGATAGTATGCTTGCAGACATGAATTCAATTTAAAAACCAGCACTTTATTACAAACATTGTGCATGCTAGAATATAGCAGTTCAAATGGGAACTAGACGTGAATTATAAATCTTGAATACACTAAAGAATGGCAGTAACTTCTGGACAATATCTCTTTCAAAACATTCATTTGAGTGTAAATAAAAGAAAAGATGAAAGATACCTTATTAAACTGAAAAGGTTATCAAAATTGTTCTATGATAAAAAGCAAAGACTGCATGGATTTATTAGTGTCATAGCTAGCAAAATGGAATTGCTGTTCCAATGAAAAACTTGAAATGGAGTCCAAACAGATACTTATGAATAGGCAAACACAGCAAGTGGTAAGAACACAGAAATTCTGGAAACTATTATAAACAGTAAGGCCTTGTTTTTATTTTGAATTCATGACTTACACTAAAGTTCTAATTTATTTACTTTATATTATGTTAATGTACTTTTCCCTTCAATTTTGTCCACATTACACTTACATAATGCTTTTCTTGAAATTTGCTTTACTTTAACTAGACAATGGAGGCTATTGGGAGCCTTTGGAGTTGTTTACATTTGATATCTGTAGAAAAACAATTCAATGGTCCCATGGTACCAAAATCTGCATAGCCAAATTTCTTACATAAAATGGCTTAGTAGCTGCATAAAATTGCATATCTTCCATACACTGTAAATTAACACCTGTGTTATTTATATCAAGTGATACAATCTAAATGGTGTAGGAATTCTTGTGTCCTATACACTTGGACAACCAAAAGAATAAGATTTGTTTGTGTTAAAGATGTCGGTGATCAGCTATGGCAAGTCTTATTATAGAGAAGAAGGCTGGTGCATAATTGAATGTGTAAGTCAAGGACCAGCAGGTATGCAAGACCATCTTATTTACAATGAAGAGACAAAACCACCTTTCAATAAGAATAACAAAAAAATGTGGTTAAATATTGAGTAGGTTTCCTACACTTAACTTTTTCTCAATGAACTTACGATTTCTTGGAAACTGTCTTAGGCATTCTTATTATGATGATGTTGGTAGTTTGCATTCTTTTTTATGTCTATTTTATACCTGAAACCAAATTAAGCAGCATATTTCAGAAATGTTGAAAATTCACAAAAAAACCTCAGTGGTTTTAAACAACTGCGAAACAAAGGAGAGCTGTGCATTAAAAACTGTATTCTCTTAAAAGTAGTATCAATTTGCACTAGTGACTATCACTGATGATAGTATTATGTAAGGAAAAATGAAATTATTTGTTTTAGTCTAACTATCATATGAATGATATGAACTATGTAAATCTTTCAGAAGTACTAAGTAGCTCAAACAAAGCATAACAATGAGTTAAAAGGAAAAAAAAAAACCAAAACACTATTTTAAGATGTTTCCAGAAATCAGAAGCTACTGAGTTGCTGCAAACTTAATTTCCTATTATTGTTTGTAAAAATGGACTTTGGAGAAGTGATTGATCCTGGCTATGAAGTCTTTGAAGAAGAACAACACATTGTTTTTCTACATGTTTTGGAAAGGAAAGTTTAAAATCCATAGATGTTATCTGTCAAGGATGAAGGCAGTTTTTCATAATGTCTCCATGAATAATAAATCTCAACATGAAATTATTTCAGTCATATATCTCAACAAGATTTCTCAAGGTCATTAGTACCATTATGCATCTTGAATGAGATAAATTGTCTTCAACATTAATTTCATCAAAATATCTAGAAATCGTTAATATTTTTCATAAAATCTATGTACATTAAAATGGAGATGTTGCAATTCATATCAAGAGTAAGAACAAATTATAAAACATGAATCTACTAAAGGTACAAATAACAGGATTGACACACTTATGCTTAAGAATATCTATCTGTGTGTCCAAGGAAATAAAAGGAAAGATAGACAATTTTGGTATTGGAAAATATTGAGTTCAAGAAAATGAAAAAATAGAAACCTAGAAGGATGACAGAGAAGCCACTAATGAAGAAATAAAAATATATCTATATTTTTATAAAGTTTTAAAAACATGCTCAATTAATGCAGTGTATCAAAAATAAAATATGTAGAAGCATAATTATAGATACTAAAATCAAACTGCTGATGTCAAAATAAAACTGGACAACCCAATGATCAAACCTATTATTATTACCATAAAAAGCTGATATTTTTCAGAAATAATCAAGACCTAAATGAAGATATGAAATTTTATGAAGTAAATGTATATTGACATTCTATGACATATTACAGGGAATAAAAGTCACATACTTCTATTTATGATGATAAGAATTGTGGTGATTCCTCAAGGTATTGGGTTGAATAAAGCAGTGTACTGCTTTTTTGTGTGTGTTAATGGTACTAAATGTATCTGTACACTAAAAGAATTCTGCTATATGGAAAATAGGCTCATCAGAATACATTTTGGGCATATACTATTATAGCAGCATACTCTGATTTAAAACATTTAGACTGTTAAAACAACGGATGACAAGTAAAAACGAGATTAATTAGCAGATAAATAAATAATTCTTAACGTAACTTTATGTAAGTAACATTAAACTAAATATATAATTATGTGACATTTTAAAGAGTATAAACTACAAAATTCTTGTTACCAGAATTGGTCAACTAAAATAAGATAAAAGTGCAAAGATAATATTGATCTAGTAGAAAAGTTCAATCCTAATTGAGTCAATAAAAAAACAAAAGATGCCTATAAAACTGAAATAAATATTGAAAGACTAGAGTAAGTTTAATGATGAAAAGTTTATGTGTTTAAATAAAAACAAATGAAATGTTCATAGAGAATCACAACACAAAGTGCTAAAAAAAAGATGTAAAGCAATATGAATCTGGGATAAGAGGAGTGAAAATACAGTGCTGCAAACATGTCACTAAGACAATGTCGTTAAATCCCACTGCACTCAAACTGAAAACTATTTGCATGGTGAAAGCTAATGCAACGTTGAGGAGAAATTCATTTCAAATCATTGACTTAGGAAGGAACTGTATGAAGGTTTTATACATAGCATCAAAATTTTTTGGGTGTCCAATATAATTAAATAATTATGTACACAGATAATGACACATAATAGCGAATAATTGAAAATGATTGATCTCTATTTCAAATGAAACCCACTACAGATCTGTAAAATGAATTGATAATAATGAAAAGAAAGCTAGAATTCATAATGGAACAAACAGGGTCAGTCCCACAGGAGCAGGACTTAGAGAACAATAAATGTTTTTCCCAGTTCTATTCGTCCCACCAATAAAGCATTCTCTATGTATAAAAATAAGAGGTGGAAGAGATATGACCCACCTTATAATAAGGACACAGCTGACCACTCAGAAGTACTATCACAGAGATATGAAACTTAGTGCTATAAATACTTGAACACACAGATGACTGTAAAATAATAAGTTCAACTATAATTAGATTACAGTGGTTGTGTAGTGAGAAATATGTTAATATTTTAGCCATTTGTCTAAGTCATTTAGTAAGGAAGACATATTTCATTATTTGTTGACCACCAATACTTAAAAAATGCTATTCAAAACATTAACAGTTTCTATTGACTCAAAATGGCTTATTCTAGATAAACATTTTAATAGTTTATAAATATATATAAGGGTAATGTGTGGTAAATAGTTTGATTGTACAACTTAGTAGATATAAAATGGGTGTGATTGCAATGCACAGTTTCAGCATTTTATAAAACTGACCCATTTAGAGGAAAAAAAAAAGTTTGAACCATAGGACTGATTTTCAAATGTCTAGGCTATTTCTGGAGCTTGGTTGGTCACTTAGATGACTTTCCTCTCAAACAAGGTATAATTTTCTAGTGCAGTTATCAAAAAATTCTACTGTAGTTCTCTTCATTGCTTATTCCATCCATGCAACTAGAAGTTTCTAATGAGCTCTTGGCTAATGCCTCTCATCTTGACACAATCCTTGCAAACAAAATTATTTTTCATCAGGTTTGCTCAAAGGATTTTACAATTTTTGAACCGTTGCAAATAAGATATTCCTATCTGTAGTATCTTTAACAAAGTACACTTAAGCTTCATATTAACTATTAAATGTTTTTTTAAAAACATATCCATTATCAGTTTTACCTTAACATTCCTATGTTTTAAAAGAATTAATATTATTTTAAATTTAATATTAGTCTAACATTTTAGTATTCAAAGGATCCACAGTGCTAACTCAAACAACTTTTTCATACCAACAAATAACTCTACTATAGAAGAATTTGTTACATAATAAAGAAGGGAAATATATCATAAGATTAAACTGGAAAGGTAACAAATATGGCAGTATTTTACCAATAAGTATAAATATGAATTTTTGTCCCAGAGAAAGCTTTTAATATATAAGTGAACTTGCATATTTATTATTTTTAAAATATTAATTTGTTTATTTATGTATTCATGTGCTTTGTCCATGTGCATGTTTATGCAATGTGGACATGAGTGCCTGTGGAAGCCGGGAGAGGTTATTGGACTGAGAATTGTGAAAAGTGAGGTGGGTGCTGAGAATTGAACCTACAGCCTGTGCATATGTGATGAGCAATACCTCCACTATCCATATTTAATAATTTTTAAATTGATTATGCAAAGCAAGTATTTAAAACTTAATGCATAATTAAATTTGATTTTAGTACCATTGAAACAAAGTCAGTTTGAATGAAAATGCTGAAATAAACACATTATAAATATAGATCATATTATATTTCAAAACACAAACGTTCCTTTTTTGTAAAGTATGCCGAAAATATGTCTAATTAGAAAAGAAAGTGAAGACAGAGAAGGCCACAGTCTCTGTAGATCATAGCAAGAATTACTTACCACACTGGATTTTTTTTTTCACTAAAAGACCTATAGAGTTTACCCTTGCTGCTGAAACTTTTCTATTATTTGATTGTGTCAATCATGAGTAGCTCAACCTCTTGAAGTTGATTCAAGAATTTTTACCTTCATTTCCTTAGTGTAGCCTTCTTGCTTCCCTATCATTAAATTCAGATGAATCAATTTTGAAAACTACAATTGTTCTGAAAGATGGGGTGAGAAGAAAGAGGCCTAAGGAACTATCCATAAGCCTAACGAAGTCTTACTTCTTCATTATTGGCATTTTTGTATTAGGACTGCCTTTATTTTAACTATTCTATCTACAGTTTCTAATTCCATTGAGAAGAATATTTTTGAAATATCTAGGCTTCTGGAAAAAGAAAATCTGGAGCAATATCACTCATTAGACAAAGCATAAAATATACAGATAGATTCTGTTTTTAAAGCTGAATTCACATAAAAGCCACATTTATTTCCTTTCTTTAACTACTAATGACTAGTGCTTCAATAAAATCTTGGCCAAAGATTTCACTAGGACTGTAGTAGAATTCCTATTACGACAAGGAAAAGACCTTAAATATGAACATGAAATACAATTGACACTTACTGTGGTCCAACTGACTTGTCGACCTAAGTCTGTAAAATAGAGTGTGAGAATTGAGGAAGCTGCAACACTTTGAATAGTGACATAATCCTTCAAAAAGGGGCCACCTAAAATAAAGCAATGAGAAAGTGGTATTTAAATATAATTTCATGGTACAGTGACAAAGAGTTTCTTAATACAAAACTGGTGACTACTTGGGACTTAAATTATGCAGTCATGACATAACAAATATGAACATTATAAGACATGCATCATTCAATTTGAATAATTTGTGTGCTAACTTTCATCATCCACAAAGTTTTCAAAAAGGATTCAGTGAAAAATATAGACTGTTTTTAGATTTCATGAAAAGATGGAAAGGAGCTGACATGAGAACTTCCCACGAAAATCAACTCAACAATAATCACTCAGCTCCAGCTTCAGTGTGTCTTAAGCAGATAATGTAGGGAATAGGTGTTTGTGTGTGAGTGAGTGAGTGAGTGAGTGAGTGAGTGAGTGAGTATTGTATATGTATGTGAGTGTAAATAGAACTTGCTCTAAGCATCATTTTTGCTTATTTATAATATAGCTACAGAGAGTGAATTTGGCATTATAAACAATTTGCAATCAAAATGGCCAATACAAATATGACAGTAATGCATAAGATCCTAGAATATCTGTAAAATAAAAATTGGGATCTTTTATATCTTTGAAAATATGCTGAAAACTTTCTGACAGACACTTATTGTGTTCTTTAGCACGGTAATCAATTTATATTCCGCTATTATCTTTAAAAACTTCAAATAGCAGCACTCTGAATTTTTTAGTTGTTTAATGCATTTCAAACAATACGAATTTTCAAAAAGAAAAAAGAACAGATGCATCATAAATCAAACCAACCTCTGTGTGTGTTTGTGTGTGTAGGAGAGATGTTTATGTACATCCTCCTGTGCATGTGTGGTTGGAAGACAGAAATTGGCTTCAGTATTTCCTTTCATTTTTCCATTTCTCTTCTTAATTCTAGCTTGTCTTCAAACTCCAAGGATGGTCCTGACATTACCACACTCAGCCTTTTCCTGGATTATAGGCACATGCCCTCAATCTGTCTATTACTCCAGGGCTGAGGATACAAATTTGCATACAAGCTCTTTATTCATTGACCCATTTTCCCAGCCCTAATCACTCATTCCACTCTAAAACTAAGGAATCAGGAGACCTATCCATTGCCTTCTCAGAAAATTTCTTTATGTCAAGAAAGAGAAATTCTGAAAAATATAGAGACAGTGAACATATTTAGACAAAGCACCTGCCATCCCTGTGGATAATGTTTTGTCCATTTAAACCCATGTTTATTATTTTTTTTGCTCAAGCAAACTCAACACAAGCTGGTCTTAAGATAATTGTTTTGAACAATGGGCTAGATTCAGGAACATTACCTACATCTAGGTGTTTGCCATAGATATTATATGAAGGGTGTGCACTATGTTTTTCTTGGTAATTATGAAAACCAAAGACCTTTTTCTTCATGCTTCAGCTTTTCAGTATGTCATTTCAATGCAATTCAAAGAAATTCCAGTGCACCAACCAGAACACTCTGAAATACAGTGGCACAGATAAGGATAAAAGAAACATGCTTATTTAACATACTTTATATGCCAATAAACAGAAAGTTTTAGATGTGAGATCCAGTAGATGCAATATCAATAATACTGGTTCTTAGGTGGAACACATAAATATACTTATCTGTTAAAATTCTGCTAATTTAACATTTATTAGTAGATGTTGCATTTTCTTCAATTTCATTATTTTTCCTTTTTTTTATCATAGAATTCTATTTATGGAATCAAAATAAGAATTAAAAACAATGTTCAAAGAAGAGTGGAGAAGTACTGGAGTATTAGACTCAAATGATATGGTATTTACATGCATAGACTATGTAATAAATGTGAGGTCAGAAGACGGATTTACACTACATAAATTGACTGGTTGAAATTGGTCTTACCATATTCTAGTTGTAGACCAACTCGGGAAGGATACCACTTTGGACCTGTACAGTGAAAAAGAAAACTTAATCATTAGCCAAAATAGAATCTTAGCTTGATGATATGGAGGTTCTCAGGGAAGACAAGATTCTCACTGAAAAGGGAATAAAACACTCATTCGGTATCAAACACAGACACAGTGGTCCCCATTGGCAGGGTACTGAATAGCAGTGGTGAGCAGTGCCTGGATGAAATGGTGATTTGTCAAGGAATATTCAGGTTATGAGCATGCACCAAACCTTATGGTCCCAGACAGGAAAATATATTAGATAATGAATTCTCAAATGAAATTTATATATTTATATAAAGTAATGACTACTGATTTTATTGAAAATTCCACAAAATTTGACACCTGAAAAATGTTTTACCCTTTTAGAAGTAATGTGCTTTCTCACAATAATTGCCACAGTGTTAGGTTCTCTATTAAAATGGTATCTACAGAAGTAAAGTGCTCCATTTAAATGAGATGCATGATTGACTTTTGATGTGGGAGTCCCCTCTGTGTGCTGTGATTACTCTCAGTGAATAAAGAAACTGTCGTGGCCTGTTGATAGAAAAGGACTTAGGTAGGCAGGAGGACTGGACTTAATGCTGTCTGAGAAAGAAGGCTGAGTCAGAGAGATGCTAAAATTTTGCTGGTAGGCCACGACCGCAGGGTGATACACAGATTAATGGAGATGGGTTAAATTAAGATGTGTTAACCAACACGAAGTTAGAGCTAATGGGCCAAACAGTGTTTTAATTAATACAGTGTCTTGTGATTATTTCAGGTGTAAGCTACCTGGGCGACCGGGAAGAACAAACAGCATAATTCTAGAAGGAATGTCAGTTTACATGGTCTTTTTGGATAACCTACATAAATGGGTAGAATAATATTTCCTTTACAGTAAGTACTGGACATTTTTATAACATATTGCAGAACTGAAAAATTATTTTCAAAATTCAGTGATATCATATTTAATTAAATATCTTTTGGAGTAAATGCCAAGCAATTATCTCTAACATCTAATAGTAAATTAATAAGTGTATTTTCAAGAAAATTCTATCATTATCATTTTCTGAAATAATTTATTTTAATTATTGCTAACAACAAGAACTGAGGCAAATGTATTTTGACTTTCTTTTCAGAAAGCAGCCCCAAATAATGACCGGGAAACTTATTAGTAATTAGGAGAGCTTGGTCTTTACTTTGGACTTGTTCACAGCTAGCTCTTAGAGCCTGCTTCTATTAATCTACCTTTTGCCACGTGGATTTCTCTCTCTCTCCCCCTTTGTATAAGCAACTTTTGAACACTCTCAATTTCATGGGAGAAATATCCTAAGAAAGAATTCATTCAGACCTTAGGGTTAAGGAGGCATACTCATAAACAAATCAAGGGATAGCAATTATTAAGATTACACATAAACACTGTCACATTTTTCCTTTTAGATAATTTTCAGGTAAAGCAATCATTTTCTTTCAGCTTATATATTAACTACGATGCTTATTACTTCTACAGTGATTTATAGTTTTGAATTGTATGCTAGTTTTGTTTACTAAAAATACTTTTAAAAGATAAAAAGTAGTTTTCCTACTTTTTTATGTGACCTACATACAAATTAAATACAATGCAAGTAAATGCTACAGAAGACTGAAAAGTTTTAATTGAGCCTGTGAGGACACTTGACATTGAACCAACTACAAGCCTTTGAGAATCCGCTTAGATTTGACAGGCAGCCCCCAGTGTAGTTGTACATAAGCTGTCAGGTTCCATCATTTAAATAATAGCTATTGAAAATATCACTTTCAATAGCAACCTATGATGCCACCTTGGGTAGAAATGCAAAATCAAAAATAAATGTTATAACTATTATTCTAAATATTTAGTCTATTTAGTTGTTCCTTATGAATTAGATGATACATATTGTCCTGGAAAAATGCAGAATATATATATATATATATATATATATATATATATATATATATTCAATACAATTGTTATTTATTTAGTATAAGTTTTATTTGTTAACATCATCAATATTTATTATATTATAATATAAAGAACTTTAAATGTATAAGGGTTCTTACCCTGTCTTAACAACTTGAAGGTTAACAATTCAGAAAACAGATCATGGTGTCAAAGTTAAATTATTCCAATAGTATTCAATGAAGATGATAACATATCAGTTTCAACATTAAACTCGCCTTACACAGTAGCTATTGTACTCTGATCACAACTTAGAATTCTTTTCTTACACTACTCAATAACACTGTGAATAAATTAAATGTTGCCATATATTTTATTAAAGTGCTTATCATCAATGTTTTACTTGAAATGTGAAGTTCTAATGTTATCTATGTACCTATTATATTATAACATCTTTTAAAGAGTTATTGCATGTGAGAAATCAAAATAGATAAACAAATATTACTACAAAATATTCAGTTTATTTTGTTATGGTATCAGAAATAATATAGCCTAGTACAGCATGTATCCAATAACAGAATAATTCAGAATTCACTACCAGAAAATGAGTAAAGTCTGGAGAGTTACGAAGTTCTTAAATGGAGTTTGATTAGAAACATTTGAGCAAAACTTTGGCTCATAATAAAATGTGTCTTTTATACTTCAGAAAGAATTAAAATTAATATAAATGTTAAAAATAAATAAGATTAGGATATTGTTAAAACCCAATAAATATTTATTATGAATCTTTTCATCTTATAAAATGAACATGGCTTAATGTTCAGTAACTTTCTAGATTAAATCAAAATAATTGGAAATATGATTGAAAACCCACCATGAGCTTAACAGTCTCCAGGTGTGTTTCAAATAACATTCTAATCAATATAATTTTCCTTAGACAACTAAGCAAACTGAGAGCGTGAAGCAAGCATGTGTGGAGAACACCAGCAGGCTAAAGAGAGAAAAGTTCCTGAAAACATGTTATGATAGAGGTAGTGTGCTTGTATTAAATGAGATGTACATATGCTCTGCACCTGTTTTTAGATTCCAGAAAGATAAAAATGAGGCCATTCATAGAAAATGTGAAACGTGATAATTAGAGATGGTTTCACAGGCTGTCTCTGAAATGAAACATGTGTTCATCTGAAAGAAAAAATAATGTTTAGAAATGAAAACCATGCCTAACAAACCCCTCAAAACCTTAAATAAACCTGGCAGAATTGAACAGAGTAGCTAGTAGGTTAATTGGAAGAAAGAAGTTTTTTTTTTTTTTTTCAAGACGGAAAGCATGTTTTAAAATGTGAGTAGCAGCTATTAGGTTTCTATCATTGATATAGATAGATAGATAGATAGATAGATAGATAGATAGATAGAGGTAGACGATAGATAAATAGATGATAGATAGATAGATAGATAGATAGATAGATAGATATAGATATCATGTTGTAAAGAACAGTTACTTTCTAGATTAGATCAAAAATGGAAAAGTGATTAAAAACTCGTCATGAGCTTGATAGTTTCCAGATGTGTTTCAAATACAATCTTATTCAAGATAATCTAAGACAACTAAGTAAACTGATAACATAAAGCAAGCAAGCAGAGCCTCAGTAGGATAAAAGAAAGAAAATTTCCTTGATATGCATAATAGACGTATTGTATTTATATTAAATGAAAGTGCATATGTGTGTCATATATATATATATATATATATATATATATATATATATATATACTATTCTAGGTTGTCAGCTACATCTAAAATTAACTAAAATCTAATTGGCTGGGTACATCTGTGAGAATTTTTTCTTAATTAAAAATTTGAAGTGGGAAGACCAATCTTTAATCTATATCTTTTGAGGTGGCTGATTCACCTTTAATCTTAAAGAGTTGAAGAAAGTCCTAATGATGGAAAAAGATAACAAGGACTAACTAGGTTGTTATAGACAGTGGTCAGAAAAAAAAGCTAAACAAAGGAAGTAAGATTCAGGGCCTTGTTTATAAAAGAAAATAGGGGGGCTGCTGTGGGATAATGCTTTTGTACACTGTAAAGATTTGTCACTCATGTTGATTTAATAAAATGCCAGGCATCAAGTATAGGCAAGGCAATCAGACTAAAAGAATTCTGGGAAGAGGAAAGGCAGAGACACAGTCACAAGCCAGATGCAGAGGAAGCAAGATGAGAATGCCTTACTGAGAAAATATACCAAGACATGTGGCTAAACATAAATAAGAATTATGGGTTAATTTAAGTTGGAATAGCTGGTTAATAATAAACCTAACTATCAAGCCAGACAGTTTATACTTAAAAGCTTTTGTGTGTTTCTTTGGGACTGAACAGCTGCAATACTAGACAGGATGGTTAACACTACATTATTCACAAGGTGTGGTAGTTTGAATGTAATTGGTCAATATGTGGAATATTGTTGAGACAGACAGATCTTGCTCCTGTTTGGGGGAATTGGGACTTTCTTATTTTGATTATGGAAACAGTGGAATGCTTTAAGCATTGGGTACTGGATGATAGTAGTAGAAGTATGGAAGACAGAGGTGCTAAGAGTTATTTGAACTATGATGGGCTTACTTAAGTTGGTTTCAGAGGAGAAGAATTTAGTATGCTTCCTAGAGATCACTCTTGTGATATTTTGGTGAAGAACTAGTTGCCTTTTGCTCTTGTCAGAAGAGTTTGCTTGAGGCTAAAGAGCAGAAGTATAAAATAAACCCACTGACAGAAAAAAAAAATCTCAAAATGGCCCATTATAGACTCTGTCCTGTGGATATTATTGGTAATGCTATTGAAAATTTCTAAGGAAAAGGGGCAAGCTGGGCAAGGTAAATTACAAAATGAACATTTGGGGGATAAAAAGAGCAATAGCAAGTGTAATGGAGCAAAGTCCTGTGTTCAGAGAGATCAACAAATAAAGAAATGGGATCAGGGGAGTCCTGACCTCAAAGCCAGATCCTACCCAGATAAGTTTTCAACCTGTGAAAAGGAACTAAAGCAAGACTTAGAGCCAGGTGTTGTGGGGCATATCTTACATAGCAGTACTCGGAAGGTAGAG